CTCGCTCGTGGCGAAATATGTCTCCGAGGCGTCTTTGGGCCGCGCGCTAATATCTCTCTCTCTCTCTCTCTCTCTCTCTCTCTCTCTCTCTCTCTCTCTCTCTCTCTCTCTCTCTCTCTCTCTCTCTCTCTGTGCCGTGGCGCATCAGCCACGCCTCGGTGTTTCTTCGGGCATTGTTGGAGCCGTGTTGTTTTGCCGCGCTGTTCTGTTCGGGCTGCTCGTCTTTCCAGCGCTTCTCCAGCTTGTCCAGTGCCGGCTGGAGGGTGGCTCCTCGCCCACTTCGGCCATTTCAACCACTTCGCCCACTTCGGCCATTTCAACCACTTCGCCCACTTCGCCCACTTCGCCCACTTCACCCACTTCGCCCGCTTCAGCAACTGCGCTCACTTCGCTCCTTTCGACCACTTTGCAGTGTCCCTAGCGATGCTGCAGCCGCTCCAGCCGCTCCAGCCACTCCAGCGGCCGGATGTTCTTTAGCCGGAGTCGCCCCGTGTTTCAGAGGCGGCGCGCCCCGCCCCGCCCCGTCGTCGTTTGCCGTTATGTGTCCAATAAAAGCGCGCGCTTCGCCGTGCCTGGAGCCTCCAGTGAAGCCTCCAGCGTCGGGCTGGAGCGGCGGTCGGAGGCGCTCGCTCACTCGCCACGCGTGATTTGCTTCTCCAGGACCGGCCAAAGACTTTTCCTTTCCTTTTCCCGGTCGTCATGGAGCCATGGAGCGCGCTTGCAGAGAGGGCCTCCACAAACACACACCTCTTACACACACACACACACACACACATGATTGAGAGTGATTCCCCGCGACTACGTTTCGTTCTCTATATTCCGCGGCAATCCATTTATTGGCTTGTTGTTGTTGTTTTCCGTCCAAGTTGGCTGTCGTGCTGAGAGGGCAGGCCGGGGGCACGCCGAGGGTGCGCGGGTGGGCCGAAGGGGCGGAGGGGCGGGCCCTCGGGATGGTTTCGGTGAGAAGCACGCCGGCCACGCCCCGCCCCCGCCCCGCCCCGCTATGATAGCGCGCCTCCATTCCCTGATTGCCCGCGCCCCTTCCGAATGCTGTCCTCCCCTCTTCACCACTATTTCTCGTTATTCCCGCCCTATGCCCCCCCCCCCACCCTAGTGGCACCTCGCGGCCCTTCCTTTCTCTGTCCATCCACGCCCCCTTGCCCCCCTTCCCCTCTTTTCACACTCTAGCTCACCACACGCACGTGCACTCTGTCGCTCTCTCTCACTGACGCCACCCCCTCACTAACACTTACTTACGCCACACACACACACACACACACACACCGAGGCGCGCGTTAATGAAGACGACACAGGTGACTGCGAGGCGTCTTGGCACCGCACTGCAACACTGCAACCGCCACCCTGTGCACCGAACACAGCGGCGACGTGCAGGGCTCGGCTCGGCGAGTTGAATGGCAGGAGGAAAAGCGCATCAAAGCAGCCGCCTTGCTTCGAAGCAAGTCGGTGCCGCGGTGCGCAGGCCGAGATGGAGCACTATACTCCGACCAGAAAACGAAGAGCCCTGGGTTCTCGCGGTCGAGGGCTACCTGCAATGCTAGCCAAGGCGGCAGATGCCATAAACCGCGAGGACTCAGGGCTCTTCGTTTTCTGGTCAGAGTATAGGACACCCACTGCTTTTCTTGCTGAGCCCGCCTCGTCTGCGTGTGTGTATGTGTGTGTGCCTGTGTCTGTGTGTGTGGAAGAGAGACATTGCAGCGCCGCCGCCAGCGCGCCTGTGTGAGTGTCTTTTGCCGAATCGAACTGAACGGCCCAAGGTTTCCTTCCGTGCCTTATTGTGCTTCCGATATGGGTCTTGTTGGGCTGCATCGCGGCGTGCAGGGGCGTGGCGTGGCGGGGTGGTCCCTCCCCAGGGCAGCCTGCAGGCCTTTCCCCACCCTCGGCCCCGCCCTCGCCCCCCGGCCGTGCCGCCGTGCCGCCGTGCCAGCACCCCGACCCGAACAGACTCCTCGCGCGCCGTTGACTCTTGGTAAGTGAGTTTCCATCCCGACCACTGTGCCCGGCGCTCGGCCCCGTCTAGCGCGATTCACTGTGGCAGTTTTTGTCTCCCGCAGCCAGCACGGCGTCTCACTCCCTCTTTCTTTCCCTCCCCCATTCTTCCTTGTCGGCTCCCTTTTTTGAGCGCTTCTCTCGCTCGTTTCACGGAACTCCCGGAGTTCGGCTGTGCTCGTGGCGGTCCGAAATGGCGTCCGCGTATCGGGTTCGCGGAACCCCGCGGAACCCCTCCCGGTCGTGTTTTCGCACCGGGTGTACACCGGGTTCGCACCGGGGTTGAACGCGCCTCGGTGACGAGGGCGCGAGCTCGGAGCCGTGCCGCGGGACGACTTGAAACCAGAAACCGGCAGACAGCGGCCACCCCCTGGCGGCCCCGCCCCGCCCCGCCCCGCCCCGCCCCGCCCCACCCTACCTGGCCGCCCTGCCGGTGTTGAATCTGTGTCGGCGAGGCCCAGTTGTTGCAGCCAATTACGGCGGGAAGAGAATGCCAGGTTGCGCGGCCTGCGGGACGCTTCCTGGAGTGGAGCTGCAGTTCAGCGGGTCCCCGCCCCGCCCCGCCCCGCCTCGCCCCAACCCGCCCCGCCCCGCCCCACTCAGCCCCGCCCCACCCCGCCCCGCCCCACCCCCCCCGCCCCGCCCCGCCCAACCCCGCCCAACCCCGCCCCGGCCCACCCCACCCCGCCCCGCCGGATCTAGGACAACTCGTCCCCGCTAACTCGTCCCCGGCCTAGGTTGCCCCACGCACATCTCGACCCCGCCCATCTGGTTCCCGGGTTAACTCGCCACCAATCAAATAAGTTCTTTTACATAATTTTATTTACCTGTTTTGAGGGATCAACTCATGGAAACGTTTCTTGAATTTAAACCACCCGGTTGTGGCCGATGGACTGGCAACTCCTAAAATTGCATTTTCTGGGCAACAATGTAACCAAAATTTTAACTTTTCTTGGGGGTTACCAGTCGTTATGAAGGATTTTTGTTCAGAAACTCATTTTAGTAAAAGTTATTTGTTTAGCAGTCGCTTGGGCTGCATCTCGATTTTTTCGTCAAATCTGTGGCTATATTCTTGATCCTTGCCCTACGGGATGACTTCAAATTTTCAGTCCCCACAATCCCCGGCGAAGTTAAATAAATCACAGATAAGGGCAAAAAAGCAGTAAAATCAGAAGGTTTTTTTTCAGCCAATTATTTTAGCGGCTCTTTCTTTTAGGACGTTTTTGCAGCTTATGACAAGTGGCCATGTTAAAAATAAATCAGTCGAAATTGGGAGGGGACGTTGCACGTTAACTAGGAAACTAGAATTGGGCAAGTCGAGGTGCGCGCAAAGATATTTTTTAACTTTTAAAAATTAAAACATTGGGACGAGTTGGCATGACATTTGGGGCGAATCGGGCCTTCGGCCCGGGGCGAGTTAGACTGGGGTCGAGATATACCCGGGACGAGTTAGTGGGGACGAGTTGTCCGTCACCCGCCCCGCCCCACACCGCCCCGCCCCGCCCCCGCCCCGTCCCGCCCAACCCCGCCCAACCCCGGCCCACCCCACCCCGCCCCGCCCCCCCCCCACACCGCCCCGCCCCGCCCCGCCCCGGCCACGTTGGGACGTGCCAGAATAGGAGGCTCATTACGCAAGGGCTCGGTTAGGTAAGGGAAGGGAGACAACGGGGTCGCGGTGACGTAAACGGGTTTGGCTGATAAAACCGGCAGGGGTACAACGGGCCGCCAAACGGGAACACCGGCGGGGTAATCCGCTCGCGTCTTGCACCCCCCCCCCTCCCCCTCCCTGCCATTTCATTTTTCGCCGCTGAGGGAGGAACTCGGAGAGGATCTCTTGGCGTGCTGCGTGGTATGATCGCAAGCATCCCCCCACAGCAGCAGCATCCTCGTGTTCCTCTCTCTCTCTCTCTCTCTCTCTCTCTCTCTCTCTCTCTCTCTCTCTCTCTCTCTCTCTCTCTCTCCGCGCGCGCGGATTTCTGATACACAACACGCGGCCCCTCCTCCCCCTCGTGAAGGTACGGCGGCAGCGCGGAGGAGGGGAGATCTAGTATGCAGGCAATTTCCGGCGAAAAGGGAGCGACCTGCTTCCGGTTTCCGTCCGAGTCGGCCGAGTCGCACTTCGGGACGCGCCGAACTGCCGAACCGAGAGTCGGGGCGAGGCGCCGCACTTCGGGCCGCTCTTGCACCGAGTCGGCCTTAACGGTGTGTCGCCGCGTTTCATAGTGCCTCGTCTTGTTTTGGTTTTGGAGCTTGCCGAGAGCGAGGAGGGCGCTTCGAGTGTCGTGGGAGGCGGCGGTGGCGTGTGGAGGCGGCCCCGCTCTCGTCTGCGCCTGCTTCGGCACTGCTATGTCGGCGATGCCCCTCCCCCCCTCTCCTCCTCCGTTAATTTATTTTCTCGACCGAACTTTGTCGGGCATTATGTCTTCCCGCTTCCCAATTTCCGGCCTTGAACTTATTGAATAAAAAGATGGCAGGGCGTTACGCGCGGTTTTTTCGGCCCTTGCTGTCGATCAGCGAGGCCGTGTGGGCTGGAGGAGAATTTCGGGGCCGAGCCTCCGTACGCGCACGGGCGGCGCACCACAAAACAGCTCACACACAAAAAGTGAAGAGGTTTTGTTTGTTGTTTTCGTTGTTGTTGTCGTGGTCTGCTGGATGGATGTGGTGGCGTGGCAGGCTCCCAGGGCGTCCCGGACGTGCCTTTACTAACTTGGATTTTGACGTGTGCGGCCATCGCGGGTGGCCTGCCGAAGAGAGAGAGAGAGAGAGAGAGAGAGAGAGAGAGAGAGAGAGAGAGAGAGAGAGAGAGAGAGAGAGAGAGAGAGAGAGCAAGAGCAAGAGCGACTCGTAGAGAGCCTGGTGGAGGGCAAGCGGCATACAGTGGAGTGGTATGGGCGAGACCGAATTAGTGTTCCGTCCAATCACGCGTTGCGTTTGTTTTCCGATGTTGTTGTTGCTTCGGTTTGCTGACCCTTGTTGTTGTTTTTGTGCCGCAGGATGCGACGCGCGTCTCGGACACCCTGCCGCCGATCCACTTCGAGCCCCAGGTGGCGTTCCTTTGCAACGAGGGCCAGAGCTTCCACCCGCAGTACATGAGCGACCAGGGCCGCTGGACCACGGACCCGGAGAGCAAGGTGTCGTGCCTCAAGGACAAGGTGGACGTGCTGACCTACTGCAAGAAGGTGAGTGAGTTGGTGTTGATCGTCGTCGACCCTTCATCGGCCAGGCTGCGCGCCTGTCGTCGGCCGGGGTAGGCCGCCCGCTCCCCTCGTCTGTCCGACGGGTGGGCTACCCCGCCCGCTGCAGGGGCTCGGAGGACTCTGGGTCGAAATCCCGGACGGGTTTTGAGCTCCAGAGTTGCTAAATGGGACTCGATCCGAACGTGTGACCCCACCAATGGATTGCTCTCCGAACGAGGAATCCATTGGTGGGGTCTCACGTTCGGTTCGAGTCCTGGTTAGCGATTCTGGAGCTCAAAACGCGTCCAGAGTTTTGGCCGCCTGCACCGGTCTTCTGGCCCACTGTGCGGCGCCGCATTGTCTGGCCAGCGCGGATTGCTGCCCCCTTCCCCCTTCCCCTCCCCCTTTCAATCTCGTGCATCCGCACCGACTTCCAATCCGGAATCCGGAATCCCCTCATTGCGAGTGGAGAGTGAGTGCGTTTGGCGCTGGCCTGGCGGCGTTGCCCGCCAGCGGGTCAGGTCGCCGCCGAAAGGGTTCCCGGTGCCCCGTGCCGCCCCCCGCTACCGAGAAGCAGTCCAAGGTCGCGGTCGCGGCAGGTACTCGTCGTGGAAGGGCGGAGGCGGCGGAGCCCCCCGGCGGTGCCGCGGCGGCCGGGACTGACGCCTGAAATATCTGTCTAGTTTCTGCCAGAGGCAATCTCGCCGTCTTGCCACGCGGATGGGCAGGGGAGTGGAGCCAACTTGTTCCTGCCCCCTCGCCCCCCCCCCCTTTTGCGGTTCCCCCCGCGGTGCAGTGAATTGCCGCTCGCGCCACTCCGTCCGCAGTCTGCCGCGGAGAAAATATATGAATCCCCGTATCGCGGACTGTGGCACGGCACCGCGCAGTGGGCCAGAAGACCGGTGGAAGTGGACAAAACTCCAGACGCGTTTTGAGCTCCAGAGTCGCTAAACGGTACTCGAACCGTACGTGTGACCCCATCAATGGATTGCTCCTCGAACGAGGATAGCTTCGGTGGGGTCACGCGTTCGGTTCGAGTCCTGTTTCGCGACTCTGGAGCTCAAAACGCGTCTAGAGTATTGTCCGCCTCCACCGGTCTTCTGGCCCACTGTGCACCGCTGTATGAAAATGGGGGACGGTTTGGTTTCCGTCTTTTCGTCGCGCCGCGCGGCCGCGACGCTCGACGAGGCAATTGGGGCGGAGTGGCAGAGTGCGCCGCCGCTGCGCAGTGGAGGTCCGCGGCGCGATGATGGACGAGCGAGAGAGACGGCATGATGGGAAGACGGATGAGGGAGAGAGACGGAACGATGGGAATGAAGGCGGTGATCGACACGTCCCTGCCTCGCCTCGCCGCCGCGTGGATCCTCGCCGCGCTAAGCGGACGGACGGTCCGCCTCGGTCCGTCCCCGGCGAGGGGCTGTGCTTGCATTGTGCCGCCGCCCCGCCCTGATAAAGGAGGCGCTTTGTCGCGGTCTCATGTATTTTATCGCCAATCACTGAGCAAATTTGTTAGAGTGATCGCCGTCGTCGGCGTGTCCCCACAGCGGCGCCGCGCCGTCGCCATCACGCCCCCCCCCCCTCTCTCTCTCTCCCTCTCTTCTTGGCCATACGCGGGGAAAGAACAAAGAAGCAGGGATAAAAATGAAAGTAAAAAAGCGCCAAAAATAACGAAATGAGCTTTTGGGGGAAAATAAAGGCTTTGCACCACGGCGTCGGGCGTGACGGGGCGAGACGGTCGGGGTAAACAAGCAAGGGATCGTCCGGGGCTTCGCCACGCCCCGCCATGCCACGCCCCACCACGCTCCGGCCTTGCGCCTGACTGGGAAATTATTGCCAAGTATGAGCGCCGCCATCTGCGGCAGCGTCAAAATATTCAATTTGCAAGCGTTACGCGGGGCGTGGCGGCGCGTGGCGGCGCGAGCGTGGCCGGAAGCGGAAAATGGCACTCGAGCGTGTTTGGCGCGGAGATTCCTCGCGGCACAGTGGCGCGAGCAAGCGAAGCAAGCCAAGAGCAACGCGGGATTCGTTCAGCCGTGCCGAGTGGAGCTGCGCAGTTAGTGTGCGTGTCTGCCTGCCTGTCCGTGTCTCTATCTGTCCGTTTGTCCGCGCTATATTGCAGGTGTCATGATTACACGCCCCCTCCTCCTGCTCCTGCTCCTCCTCCTGCTCCTCTCCTCCTCCTCTTGCTCCTCCTGCTCCTCCTCCTGCTCCTCCTCCTGCTCCTCCTCCTGCTCCTCCTCCTGCTCCTCCTCCTGCTCCTCCTCCTGCTCCTGCTCCTCCTCCTGCTCCTCTCCTCCTCCTGCTCCTCCTCCTGCTCCTCTCCTCCTCCTGCTCCTCCTCCTGCTCCTCTCCTCCTCCTGCTCCTCCTCCTGCTCCTCCTCCTGCTCCTCCTCCTGCTCCTCCTCCTGCTCCTCCTCCTGCTCCTCCTCCTGCTCCTGCTCCTCCTCCTGCTCCTCCTCCTCTTGCTCCTCCTGCTCCTCCTCCTGCTCCTGCTCCTCCTCCTCCTCCTGCTCCTCTCCTCCTCCTGCTCCTCCTCCTGCTCCTCTCCTCCTCCTGCTCCTCCTCCTGCTCCTCCTCCTGCTCCTCCTCCTGCTCCTCCTCCTGCTCCTCCTCCTGCTCCTCCTCCTGCTCCTCCTCCTGCTCCTGCTCCTCCTCCTGCTCCTCTCCTCCTCCTGCTCCTCCTCCTGCTCCCTCCTCCTCGCTCCTCCTCCTGCCCTCCCTCCTCCTGCTCCTCTCCGCTCCTCCTCCTGCTCCTCCTCCTGCTCCTCCTCCTGCTCCTCCTCCTGCTCCTCCTCCTGCTCCTTCCTCCTCCTGCTCCTCCTCTCTTGCTCTCCTGCTCCTCCTCCTGCTCCTGCTCCTCCTCCTCCTCCTGCTCCTCTCCTCCTCCTGCTCCTCCTCCTGCTCCTCTCCTCCTCCTGCTCCTCCTCCTGCTCCTCCTCCTGCTCCTCCTCCTGCTCCTCCTCCTGCTCCTGCTCCTCCTCCTGCTCCTCTCCTCCTCCTGCTCCTCCTCCTGCTCCTGCTCCTCCTCCTCCTCCTGCTCCTCTCCTCCTCCTGCTCCTCCTCCTGCTCCTCCTCCTGCTCCTCCTCCTGCTCCTGCTCCTCCTCCTCTTGCTCCTCCTGCTCCTCCTCCTGCTCCTGCTCCTCCTCCTCCTCCTGCTCCTCTCCTGCTCCTGCTCCTCCTCCTGCTCCTCCTCCTGCTCCTCCTCCTGCTCCTCCTCCTCCTCCTGCTCCTCCTCCTCCTCCTGCTCCAGCTCCTTGCGATGGCGATGGCGATGAGGTGGCGTGGCTCGGCGATAGCTGGAAGGTGGATGGAGGTGGCTGGACCCGCCACGCCACGCCAGGCCCCGACCGAACCCCATGCCGCCGCGCGTGGAGGCCGCGAACCTGGGCAAGACAAATGGAACAAGTTTTATTTGTCGCCGCTGTAAGTCGCGTTGGCCCGCTTTCTCCTCGGCGCGCGAAGCCGACGACGACGACGCTGCTGCAGAACAAAAACGCGGAGCGAAAAAAAAATGAAAAGAAAGAGTTGGAATCTGGCGGTGCGCGGTGCGCGCGGTGCCCCGGCGGGGGCGGCGGCTTGGCGGCGTCACGTCTTTATCCAGGGACGCCGCAGCTTTCGTTTGTCGTAAAATTGGACGCGGCGGGACGCGGCGCGCGGAGACTGTGGAGCGGAGAGATGTCATAAAATTTATAGCAGTCGTCCCGCGACTTGATAAGACAGAAGAAAAATAATGAAGGGCGCGTCGCTGAGGTTGCCGCCTCGGCCGCCGCGGCCTTTGGCGGCTCTTCTTGCAGGGCGGCGGACGGGTGGCACCCCTAGCGCCGCGCCGCGCCGGGGGGCGTCCCGCAGTCCAAGCGCATTCCAGGCCCGCCCCCCACTGTCGGTATGATGCCGTAACGGACTGACGGACGACGGTCCCTAATGAAACATACCAGACAAGTTTTCAGATTAGTGGACGGGGATCGCCGTCTGGCGGGCGGGTTTACTGGGCCGTCGTCGCGGCCGTGACGCGCGCGCGCGTGTGTGTGTGTGTGGGGGGGGGGGGGGGTGCGCGCGCGTGTGTGTGTGTGTGTGTGTGTGTAGACATGTGTGTAGATGTGTTTGAGGACGTGGGGTATCTACAGGATCGCTTTCATTGAGGTGGGGCGGGTCTCCAGGTCAGCCCTCCATGATTGGTCTCCCTCCACCTGTATCCGTCCCGTCTCCGTCAAGCCGTTGGACTCGGTGCACGCGCTGCTGCGGTGGCTTGACGGCTTCCTCGAGGCTTTGCGGGTCGCGGAGCTCGGATGAATTAATTGGACCTCTGCAAGGAGTGCTCTGTCTCGTTCCGCGGCGGCTCTGCCTGACTCTGTCTCCGCCACGCCGAGCCCCGCCCCGCGGCCCCCAGGTGCGGAGCGGGTAGAAACTTTGGGAATTCTGGCGAAGTGTGGCTGTGGCGCGGGGCGGAGCGGGGCGGGGCGGGGTGCGGCGGGGCGGGGCGGCGTGGGGCGGGGTGGGGCGGGGCGGGGCGGGGTTCCGCAGAGAAGCTGCGGCGCGGGGCCGCGGCCGCGACCGTGATTGGAACTGCGCTACTGCCGCACTCCGCACTCGGCCGCACTGCCGGGGAGCGTTTTAGTGTCTGCGAGGAAGACTGACAGGCTTAGCGTGTGCGCGGCGCGTGGCGGTTCCAGGCAGGCAGTGTCGCCACATACAAAGTTTGTTGAAAATTCCCACGCTGCTATGCACTGGGGTTGAAAGGGGTTCCAAGCTGCGTCTGGGCGGGCCGCTAGTGGGCGCCTTCTCATGAGCAAGACCCAGATATTGCCTGGCTGGAGGTTGGCAATCATGTGGCGACTGAGCGGGAGGGGAGGGGGTCGAGCCCACACGTGCAGCGGGCCTCGTGCCTTGTGCGCCTGACGAGAGGCCGTTGTGGTTCGCCCCGCTCTGCGTCTTATGGGGGGAAACTACAGCGCAGGCCGCGCGCATTCGCCCCACAAGGCCAAGCCGAGGCCAGTTGGGGGCC